TACACTGGGTGGCGAGTATCCCCGGCAAGCCAGGGACGCCCTGGGAGGGGGGCCACTTCCGATTGCTCCTGAATTTCACCGAGGACTACCCGACGCGACCGCCCAAGTGCGTCTTCAGCCCGGTTTTATTCCACCCCAATATTTACCCCAGCGGGACGGTCTGTCTGTCGATTCTGAACGAGGAGAAGGATTGGCGGCCCAACATCACCATCAAGCAGATCCTCCTGAGCATCCAGGCGCTGTTGGATACCCCGAACATCAAAGACCCCGCGCAGGAGGAGCCCTATCGGGTGTACTTGCGCGATGTCAAGGAGTACGAGCAGCGCGTGCGCGATGAGGTCCAGCTGCACCATCTGCAGCTCTAGACGAAACGCGCGGCTCCGCCTCAATCGGGAGGCTGAAGGCGATAAAAATTAAGGTAAATGGCCCCTTTAAAAAAAGGCGGATACACCCATAGGTGATTGATTATACTTTAGCCCTACAAGTAGGGCACCATCAGATGCAAACGAGAGGGGGGGCGACATAAGGGAAACGCAAAGATTTATTTCGCCGCAGGTGATCTTAATCTGACAAAAGATAAGGACTAGGATTCAGACTCTCTTTGCCAGTGTGCGAACTTCTAGTTGAGGGAAAGCGGCGCAGTTTTTTTTTTCATATGGATTGAGCCGAACGCACCCATCTCTCATCTCCATCTCGACAAGATAAAAAAAAGGAGATGTTGCCATGTTAGCTTTTCTTTCCCACTGATTTTTATTTTCCATAATTCTCCCCCTCCCCCTTTACCAAAGAAAACCGATACCGAGACTTCCCATCCCCTCCGAGTTTCCACTCACACACCTTCTATTTTTTCTAGTCCCCGATAGTGTTATTTTCGCGCAACATTACCATTATTATTAGTATTATTAATTCGATTACATTAGTAAATGGGTCGCGCCTCCAAGGACAAGCGGGATATTTACTACCGCAAGGCCAAGGAGGAGGGCTATCGTGCGCGGAGTGCCTACAAACTCCTCCAAATCCACGAGGAGTTTAATTTGTTGGACCCGGCGCTCATCACGACGGGGGTGGTGGATTTATGCGCGGCCCCCGGGAGTTGGTCGCAGGTCCTCGCCGCCAAACTTCTCCCCCCCTCCCCCAAAGAGGCCCGGGAGGGGGAAAAGCGATCGCGATCGGAGGGCGAGGCCTCCCCGAACGAAGCCCCGGCGGGTGCCATCCACCAAACGAGCGATACGCCGGGAATGGGGGGGGAGGACGGGGATTTCAACGCTTCCGCGCGTGCGCGACGCCGGGCGAGGCCGGTGATCATCGCCGTGGATCTTCAGGAGATGGCGCCGATCGAGGGGGTTCGGATTTTGCAGGGCGACATCACCAGCGCGGCGACCGCGCGCGCGATTATTGACTTGCTGAACCCCCACGACACCGCCGCTTCCTCGGACGACGACGCACCCAACGAAGAAGAAAAGCCCAAGGAGGCCGTGAAAACCGAAAGGGAAAGGGCGAAAAGGGGCTTTGGAGAAAGTCGGGCGGAGCTTGTGGTGTGTGATGGGGCCCCGGACGTCACCGGGATGCACGAGCTCGACGAGTACCTCCAACACCACCTCCTCCTCGCCGCGTTGAATCTGTCGACCTTTATTTTGCGCCCCGGCGGGAGTTCCGTGTCGAAGATCTTCCGCGGCCCGAATACCGGCTTTCTCATCGCGAAGTGCGAGACGTTCTTTCGCGAGGTTCGCGTGGTCAAGCCGAAGTCCTCGCGAAACGCGTCGATGGAGGGGTTTTTGGTTTGCCAGGGGTTTTTTATCCCGGAGGGCTACGTCCCGCGGTTCTTGACCTGCGCCCGAGGAGAGACCACGTTGAGTGCGAAGTTAAATCCCAAAGAACAAGAACACGAAGAACAAGAAGAAGAAGAAGGTTTGCATGGCGAAAATAACAACCTCGGCGTCTTTATGGAGGCGCGGGAGGCCTTGCAGGGGCCGGATTACGTCTACGCGACGGGATTGAGGCCTCCCGCGGGGGTAAAAATGCCGGAAAACCCGCCGCCCTGTCAACATTCGTCCGAAGAAGGCGGCGACGTGCGATCGCGTGTGATTCTTCCTTTTCTTTCGTGTGGGGATCTTTCGGGGTATGATGCGGACATGTGTTATGACCGGGAGGAGGGCGTGGCGGTCCTTTCCCCGGTTCAACCACCATTAATGGCGCCTTATTTGTCCACAATGGCGGTTTAAACCATTGAATTGGGGGATGTTTTTTATTATTGAGGGGGGAGCCTTCATGCGGTGAGGCGTGCGGAAAGCAATAGGCGAAGGATTTTGAATGGTTTGCGTGTTGACATGTTCTGCGGGTTTTCTTCATAATCCCTCTTTGTGAATTTTATGGGATGCTGATGAATCGATTGGCCAAACTCAAGTGAAATTTTCTGTTGAAAGTCCTCATTGCATACCATGTCGTGTGCGTTAAGGAGATTCCCCAGGCAGTGTTTTGCATAATAACAACTATAACACGTGTAAATATATATATATTAGATAGGAATGTTGTAAACATTATTATCATCCAATAATGTCATAACACGGTTAGAATCCAAAAACTTAATATGAAGAAAGTACTTTGCTGTAGTTGTGTTTGATTGATGAACCTCAAAGTCTGCTTTTATACCTTTTCTTCAAACTTCAAAAGTAGTTCTACGAAAAAAACGTCTTTTTAGTAGCCTCGTCGCTTTCCATTACTTACTCGACCTATTTTGGTCCTTGCCCTAGCTGCCTAGACTCATTATAGTATCACCCGCCTCGTTTCCGATCACCGTCGCGATCCCCCCTGACGGTTTTGGTTTGACTAGTAGTTTTCCCTTTTTCCTTTCCCCTTTTTATCGATATATCGATATATTGATATATTGATCAACACGTCAATACCACCCATCCCAAAAAAGGTGGACGTTGTCCCGCCCGATTGAGTATCCCGTCATGTCTGTCGAGGAATCGCGTCTGCAGGTGGAGCTCGAGGAGGCCGAAAACTACTACGCCCAGGGCGATCGCGGCAAGGCGGCGGAGGTGCTGCGCAAAATCGTCTACGCGGCGGAGCCGCCGCCGGCCGACGCGATTCACGAGATCCGCGCGAAGGAGCAGGCGATCTACCGCCTGGCGGAGATCCTCGGGGCGATGCGGCAAGGGGAGGATCTTCTGGACCTGCTCACGCGCATTCGGCCCTTCTTCGCGGTGTTGCCGAAGTCCAAAACGACGAATATGGTCCGCAAACTTTTCGAGCGCGTCGTGCACTGCGGGGTCTCGCTGGACCGGCAGTACGCGCTCTGCGTGGAGACGATCCAGTGGGCCCGCGCGGAGCGGCGGACCTTTCTTCGCCACCGCCTCCAACTTCGCCTGGCGGAGATTCTGTTCGAGCAGAAAAAACCCCGCGAGGTGCTGGGGACGTTGGCGGGGCTTCTCCACGAGGTCCGCCGCCTCGACGACCGGATGTTGTTGTTGGATATCTACTTGCTGGAGAGCAAGATTAACTATTCGATTCGCAACGGGTCGAAGGCGCGGGCCGCGCTCGTCTCCGCGCGGACGACGGCGAACAGCATCTACTGCCCCCCCCTCGCGCAGGCCGAGATCGACCTCCAGTCCGGCGTCCTCCATGCCGACGAGAACGACCACAAAACCGCCTTCTCTTACTTTTACGAGGCCTTTGAGGGCTTTCACCAGCTCCCCGATCGCGCCCTGCAGGCGCGGCGGGCGCTTCGCTATTTAATCCTCGCCGCGATCGCGATTGATCGCCCGGGCGAGCTCGCCGGGCTGCTCGCGATGACGAACGTCCTGGCCTACGCCGGGGAGGACATCGACGCCCTGCGGGCGATCGCCCAGGCCTACGTCGCGCGGGACACGCACCGCTTCAACGCCGTCCTGACCCAGCAAAAAGCCCTCGCGGGGCGGGATGGCCTTCCGCCGTCGGCGCTTTCCCCGGGGAAGGGCCAGGCGGCCGCGGACGCCGCGCCGACCCCGATCGCGCGCGGGCTCCTCCACGACGAGGTGGTCTGCCGGCAGCTCGGGATGATGTACGACACCCTTATCGAGCGCCACCTGCTCAAGCTCGTCGAGCCCTACAACCGGGTCGA